TTTTTTTTTATAACAGCTTCTATTCAACCTATAATTTTATACCAAATAATTTTGAATAAATTTTTGGAAATAAACAAACAAACAACAAAATGAACAATTTGAAAATTGTTCGGAAAATTTGAAATCGTTAATATTGTAATAACAAATAAAATGGACATAAAATTTCAGATACTCAATACAGAAAGGGTTAAATCATTATCCAAACAAAATATCGTCGTATCTGAATGTGTTTGACCATGAGAACCACACCCGTGATATGTACTTGAATACTCGTGGTGCCAAGATAAATTTTTCTAACCATGCGCTAACTCTACAACGTCAGAAATACAGTAGCATTTATCGTCATTCGAACATTTACAATATTAATTTTATGATAACATGAAATATTCGTAGTTTTTACACATCATTCGTTGGCGGTCTTTTTCTCAAGAGGAGACCATCTATTTGTGAATTGACGTTCTTGAAACAATTTCTATGAACTGGGCGCATAAATTTTGTTTAGAAGTGCGAATTCACGATAACTCCAAGATAGAAATACAAATCACAATGACCACACCCCAAATGACATTTAGAGTTCGACGTTTTAAGAAGAAATCTTTACTCAGCTATAAATGTTTAATTATGTATGTTTAGTCTTGAACAGAGCACACATAAATAACACTTACTTAATATTCTTATATATGATTAAATAATTTAAAATTTATAATTTGAATTATTTAATAATTATTTGAAATAATTTCTATAATTTATAATAATTTATAATTTTCTATTTACTTTAATTTTTATTTTGACGAAGTTTCACGTGATTAATTTATTTTCAGCATGTAACAAATTAAACAAAAATATCTACAACAATGAGATTTAGCAATACGTAACAATACATTGATAGGGCTATTGTAAAACCAAGTGATAGCAGTTGGCCTTCACTTATGGGGGAGTGATCAACTTTTCTTAAAGTGGTTATAAATGTATATCGATTGTAGACATTTACTCTTACAAAAACGTTATGATATATATTTGTTATATCGCAATTTTGAATTATGTTATTTGCAATCAGCGCAATTTAATATTCTATTTAATGTATAATGCAAAACTGTAAGCAAAATTATAATTTATTCTTCTGTATGCAAATAAATATTATTTTATTATTTTATTGATATCTACACTTTATTTATTATTTGTTTTATCCTTATTATTTCATAATATATAAAATACAAAAATTATATTTAGTAAATAATACAGTATAAAATGTATTAAGTAATTATTTTATTCAAGTATTAGATTTTCTTATATACATCCTCTTGTATAAACTTATAATTTTATTAAATCAATTAAATATAATTATAAGAAAATCTTTCTCACAATAAATCTCATACAAGTATTGATTTTTCAAATATCTTTTATACAATAATTGTGAATATTTGCAACAATTTTGATGATTCAAATTAATGAATACAATTAAGTTTTCAATTTTATAATAGAAATCAGAACAAATTAATTTAATATTTAAAATCAACTGAAAAAATATTGATTAAAAGCTTTTATGTAAAAGTTTTGTATTTAATATAATTTTCGACAAATTAGGTATTTCATTTCAATTAATTAAATAGGTAACCAAAATAATGTTTACATAGAGAATTTTATATAATAACACATTTTATTTAATTGAACGTTTGTCTTAATATAGATATTAATTACTAAATAGAAAAAATAAATATACATTTGGCAAATCTATTTGATATATTTTCTTACATTATAATTCAAGAAACTAATCCAACATGTTTCCTTCAAAATAATCCTTAATATTTTAGGCGCAAAAATGTTATAAATTGTATCTAAGGATTAGTTTCTATATTATAACATATTTAATTATAAAGATATGTGTGAAGTTGTCCTTACAAATTTTATATTTTACTTTGATCAACCTAATATACTTGTATTTATTTAAATATTTCAATATTATATTTGTCTTCAATTGGATTTTTAAATTATAACCATTCAAATCAATATACAATTGAACAACTAATTATTATTATTACAATAACAATAATAAAAGATTGAAAAAACTCAAAAAAATTGAAAATTTATTTGAAAAAATAAAAATTTATAAGGACAACTTAATACTGTCTAATATCCATTATCAAGTAATCTAAGCTAATATATATTTCGTCTTTTTAAGACATAAATCGCATATATAAAAAACATTTTCATGAATTTTTAAGATTATTTTTTGTAATGATAATTGCTACAAATTTTTATTTACAATAACTATGAATTTAAACTAAAGCTTATCATATTTAACATATTCTACTATAGTATCGAATATAAAACGCTTCCTAAAAATAATGAATAATAATCTTAATTTTTTTTATTCCTCTAGTTTTCGAAAGAATGCATTTGCGCTTTGTTTCGAAAGATCTTAATTACTAAAATTGAAAAATATGACAAAAGCATTCTCTCTTTGGTTCAACAATGAAGCCCAAAAAAGGTACATATAAGAAATTGAATTATAAAAATTACAATTTTTATACAATTTTTATATTCTTATAATTCTATATATTTTATGTATATATTTCATATATATAGAATGCACAACACCTTTTTATTAAGTTATTAAGTTTATTAAAATTATTTATTAAGATTGACATAATAAAATTTATTTTAATCATCGTTCATTGTTTAAAATTCTTTTAATTGAATAAAAAATCAAAACTGAAATAGTTTTTAAGTTCATATAAAATTATATAATATTGATAAAATAAAATTTTTATTATTATTTAATCTATTTTATATTTTTCAATATATGACTGATATTTATATGTATTAAAGTATGAACATGTTAAATTATTAATGCACATATAAAGCGATTTTATTGTCAGTATATGCATAAATTGTATTTAAATATTTAAATCTTTCGAAAGATGTTTCAATCTGAAATGATAATATTCTAATAATTTTTAATCCTAATTTTTAATGAAAAATTACACAATCTATTAATCAATATCATTTTAATATTGATTGAGAAAAGCGTATTTTTTAATCATGTATCACAAAATATAATTTTATCATTCTTTTCTTTATAAACAGAGGAATGCAATAGATTACGTTTCAATATTATTGAAAATCATAATTTAAGAATAATAATGTTTGTAATAGATTAATTCATGACAAATTTATATATATATATATCAAAATTTAAACAAAATCTAAATTTTTGTTTCTTAACAACAGAAAGTAAGAAATTCTGAAATTAAGTATCGTCACTATCACTTTCTTGCTGCTCTCGAGACTCTTCTTCCATTGGAGGAACAGTATCCATATTTCTATCAAAATAATGAGGATTCCAAGCTGGCAACCATCTATTCACGAACCACCAATGCACGGATAATCTACCATGATTACATTCTGCTCTTTCACATCTACCAAGAAACTGACAAATGCCAGTGACGCTGCCACTTTGATTTCTAATGCAGGAATCATCACATGTATGTTGACGTTCTGTTGAACGATTAGCAGAACAAACAGAAGGATGTGAAGTAGAAGGATTATGCGAAGAAAACATAGATCTAATGTTTGATGATGTACTAGGTTCATTATTTGATATTGCATTAGATGTTGACATATTTGACGTCGAAGCGCCAGGATCTACACCATTAGATAAATTTCCAGTTGTATTTCCAGTTGTATTTCCAAGAGCCGAAACACAAGGTCTACCTATATGAACTGTAGCATACAATGGGTTATTAACTGATGGACTACCTCTACTAATCCAATCAAGATATTTGCTAAATTGTGCAGTAGAGTTAGAATTAGTTAGAACTTTTCCTCTGCAAGAACAATTACTAGGATTTCTACAATGACATTCCATTCTTAAAGATTCGGTAGGTCGACAAGATGTAACAGGCAGTTTTACATAAGAGTATTCACCACGACAAAAAGGGCATCTACAATTCCTTGGTAATTGATATATGTAATGTCTAGAATTATTTGCAAATCCATCTTGATAACGTAATCTATTATGCAAATTATGGCAATGATGACATAAATATCTTGTATCTATATGTCTACAAAATGAACACATACAGTTATAACCAAGTGAATAAATGGCACGTCCAGTTGACGCGTAAGCAATATTTTCAGTCGAAAAACAATTACGACCTAGTCTACCTAACCTATTTTGACAAAACTGATTAGATAATCGTGACGAATCCAGATAAAATTGTCTTGGCTGATCATATTGATTTCTAGATTCCATATCATTAAAAAAACTTGGGATATAATGATTTAAAATATGATATTTATAACAACGAGGATACGTTCTACTACCACAAGAATATCGATCATCTATTCTTTCATATGTGTGATCATCTGCATTGTTTTGATTATTTTGGGCCGTAGGCTCATTATGAATAACTTCATTATTATTTTCAGTATTTTCATCGTCATCATCATTGTCTAACCTTTCGTATATATTTTCTTCTGGTTCCTGTAGTTGTCGATTACGATTATAATTATGAACTAAATCCACTGGATTCTGATAATTTGGATTGAGATTTGAATGTAATTGAACCGAGCCACCAGATCGGTTTTGGAAGCCCCGTGAACCACGACCTACGTTTTGATAGCTATCATCTCTTTCTTGATTATTCCTATTCTGATTCATGATTGCAGCCGCCACTTCACCATTTTCATATCGTTGACATACACAACGTAGACCTTGACAGTTATGCCCAGTACCACGATATTGCTGAAGTACATTCTGGTCTGAATTCTGGACTTGCATACCGCTGGGCCCGGCTTCCCGTGATTGATCCGACGTTTCGGCACCCGGGTCTGTACTTTGCTCTAATATATGCCCAGCGGATTGTAATCCTCACATTGATGTTGTAGACGGCATTGGTTTATCGATTATTGCTACTCCTGCGTAACTACGACCAATTCCCATACAAGTTGGGAGAGTTGTCCAAGTATCCGTTCTTGGAGAATATACCTCTACAGATGCCAGACTAGATGATCCATCATCACCACCCACCACATATAAAAGACCATTTAGCGCAACTACACCTACAAAATAAAAATATTATAATTTTACACTATATTACTAATTTTATAAACAGAAATTTAATTTGCTATAAAGATGACTATCAAATAAAATTTTTATATTTTTTTTCTTAACAATAAAAGAATTATGTTTATTCAGTTGCTTGTGAGTTCAATTATTGCAACTAATTTGTCTAAGTGAAGAACCGTCCACTGATATGAAAAAAAAATCAAGTCTGATTTTAGTGACTGGTTTATTATTCACATGAGAAACTTGATTTTTATTTCTAACTTGTAACAGTTGATTTTGTTTGACTAATTAAATTGAACGGATTGATTCCATCTGAATTTTCTTATAGAAAACGTAAATCTTCTCTTCTACAAGACTCTATAGAAGATTAAGTTGTAGTAATAGATAAGATAAGATTAGAAAATATATAGATTTCTAGAATTTCCTATGGGATTGCAAAGAAAAGAGTTGCATGGGAAAGAATTCTTCATCTTCTGGCAAACCATTTTGTCATTTATGCGATATTTTTGCTGCGTACTTAATGACTTTATCATAATTGCTATTATGCGGAAAAAATTCGTTACACTCGAAAACTAACTAAAATTTATGGAAAACCCGGTTATAAATTATCTAAACGTGACGAAAAATAGTACGTACTATTGGCCAAATAGTTTTTATTCTTATTTTCCTATACATAGAACAAAATTTGATACACGAAGTATGTACTTTTTAGTTCCAGTATGTTTATTTAGGAAAAGAAAAATGAAAAGTATTAATGAAAAGTAAAAACGAAAAGTAATTTTATAATTTTATACTTTGTAAAAATATCTTCCTTGATTATTATTAAATTAAGCAAATAAAATTATTTACCAGCATTTCTACGACAAAGAGCCATATCACTAACTGGGGTCCATTGATTAGTATCAGGATTAAAAGCTTCTACACTTTTTCTGACCAGTGGCCCATCATGTCCTCCTACAGCATATAAAATTCCATCTAAAACACCAACACCAGCACCGCTACGACGTGCAGACATATCAGGCACAGGCTTCCACTGATCTTTTTCTGGATTATAACATTCGACACTAGATAGACATTGTCTGGATACTCCATCATAACCACCAACCTGCAGCAATAATTTTCGACTTTAAATATTTAAAAATAATTTGCAATCATTAGCTACATTATTTCATTAACTTAGCTTCACTATTAAACTTACAGCATACAATAGTCCTTTAACAACACCCACACCAACACTACTTCTACGTGTTGACATTGGTGCAATTAATCTCCATTCGTGTGTTCTTGGATCGTACACTTCAGCAGAATTAAGGCCAGTTGATCCATCAAATCCACCAACCTATTTTAAGACAGAAAAAAAATATTGAAACATCATATAACATGTATACATATATCTATATAAATATATAATACATAAACTATTTACAGCATATATGCAATTTCCAAGAACTGCAACACCAAGTGTTGATCTTCTTGCTTCCATTTCTGGACAAGGTGACCACTGATCTGTAGCTGCATCATAAATATCTACTGTTCGTACTCTAAGAGATCCATTAAATCCTCCAACAGCATACACACGGCCACCAAGGACGGATAAACCTATATATCAAACATTATATAATAGTTCAGTTCAGAGAATCATTGTACATTGTAATAATTTTTTCTAAGACATAGATATTAATTACCAGCTCGACAACGACGTGTAGGTAATTCAGAAACTTGATACCACTTTTCTTCTTTAAAATCGTAACATTCTACACTTCTAATTGCTTTCGGAGCTTGTCCTCCCACAACTAATAATACTTTTGGTAAACCTCTAGGTTGTCTAGGTTTTGTACGAGGTGTTTTGAACAATGACTTTTGCTCTCCTTTAAGTAGATGATATTTCAAAGCTTCGATCAAAAAATCTTTACCTATATAAAATGAAACATTTAGATTTTTAAATTATAATAATAAATTAAATTATAATAATAAAATATATCTTTATATACAGTATATATCTATATTTTTATATGTATACACTTTGTTACTTACATTGTAAATTTGCCTTAAGAAGTGGTTCTTCCTCTACACGTTGTACTAAATATTCTTGGGATAACAAAGGTAAACGTACATGTTCCATTAATTGTGCTAAATCAGCTTGTCTTTTTTCTAAATCATGATGTACCCATGATATTACACATTCAAATACTTTTTCTTCTGAAGGAACCATTAAACAATCACTGCAAATTAATTTAGCTACTTGTTGTGGTGCTAATGTTAAAAATTCATCACCATCTACCACTTCCCTATATATAGAATAAAATATTTGCGATTAAAATAGAAAGATATTAGCTATATAGAAGTATAGTTTAGTGCTTACGAAAAATGTTGTTCAATGTAACTATCTGCATGTGATAATAATTCTAAACAGCCATGAAGATCAGCAAATGCACGTATTCCTAAACAATTTGATGGATGCAACTGAGCTTGTAAGAAATCACAACATGCATCACGGACATCGGTTAATTGCAAAAGATTTGCAGCTGGTAATAACACTTGTACATTATCTTCAGTTACATGAACTTCTGCAGAATATACATAATCCACCAATAATTCAAGCGCAGAATAATCTACACCTTGCAATGTTATTCTTTCTTGATCTCGTTCTTCAAAACTTGTAAACATGGCATAAAAATAAGGACTGCAAGCAGCTAGAACCATTTTATGAGCAGGTACTTCTAAGCCGCCGTCTGCTACCAAAATTACATCGCATAATAAATTTTTCCTAGAAAATAATCATAAATGTATATATGTACACATCAAACTGTATTTTTAGTATCATTTATAAATTTACACGATAAAAATAATCCAAAAAGAGACTCTGATATTATTATCTCTTTTTTGAATGCTTATGATATATTAAATAATACAGTACATACAATGGTAAATAATGTAGAATATATATAGTATTAACTAATATAAGAAATGTATAATAAAAGAAGTATTTCTTACTTGCGCATTTCATTAATAACATCAAACGCTCGGTTTGTATGATGATGATTTCTATATGGTGGTTTATCTTTTCCACCTTCACGGGGTATGTGTTTTTGTGAGCTTTCATCCAATGAATTTTGACTAGCATATCGAAGTAACAAACAGCTATAAAAAAATAATATTTTGTTGTTTCAGATGAAGATTACAAAAAATAAAAATTCACTAATATTTATTAAATAGATCACTTTAATTAATTAGGTACATAAATTCAAATGATACTTACAATATGCTGTAAAATTATAAAAATTGGATAATATAACTAAAAGACATATCACATAATATAATCTCACCTTCCCTTGTTTTCAGTGCCATCAGTATTATTGGAAGTATTTTGCATTTGATTCTGATTCACCGACTCCATTTCAGTTTGATTTTTGTAATAGAACTAGAAAATGTAAGTGAAATAAATCTTAATTAACGACACAAGTAAACCTGTAATTCATTTGTACAAATATCGATTCACTGAATCGAACAATCATTATCAAGCGTAGAATCAGCTGTGAAAAAAACGAAAACGATGCTTCTGATTTTATGTTATCGGTTTGATGCATCGAAATACGAAACATTTACTGATTCATGACGCGAGATATTGGGCTGACGAAATGCAACAAAAAATTCACAAGAGAAACTATAACTGCAAAATGTTGATAACAATATTATAAGAATATAAACACTAGAATCAAACTTTCTTCTTCAGTTTGTCAGAACGTCATTTACTGCTTCTGATAGTTCCGTTAAAGAAAACACATGACAGTGTCGACATCTACAACATGTTACATGAATTAATTTCCCTTTTTAAATGTACATTTATGATTTAATATTTATTTATTAGTGTATTTTAGTCAATAGTGTTATTAAATTATTTGACAATTAATGCATATGTAAATAATAATGTGAATATAATTTACATATGCATATGTAAAATAGATAGAGAAATAGAATATAATTACACATATTGTAATAAAAATATTCTAAGGTATATAGTATACACACATACTGTGATTGTAAATCTGGTATTATTTATTTGGAAATTAAGATATTCAATATAGAATTTGTTTTTAGATTCAATAAATTTATTAAAAATATTCCAATTGTTGTTAAGGTAAGAAAGGTTTTGCGAGGCAATTAAATATTGAGTTAAAAATTCAAAAAATTGAATCGAAATTAAATGTTTATTTGACGACAATTAATTTTTTAAAATATATAATTATAAAAATTTTTCTTTTAAGCATAATTATTATTAATAAAAATGTTTATTATTTGTGATATTTAACTATAGGTGATGAATATAACATATATTTGTTCATGTGTTTTTAATTATGATACTAAATGTGATTTTAGTTGTAAATCGAATAAAAGCGGAATCATAAACAATTAGCAATTTTAATTTTTGACACTTATAAAATATAAAGTAGTAGTAGTTTGACTTTGACAAAGAATTTTGAACGACCTATACAAATTACTAGCAAAGTTGCTCGGACAATTTAATTTTCATACTATAGTCTAGTGTCCATACAGTTATATAACAGTTTGTAATGTATTTCATCGTGAAGCAAAGTGCAAACTTATGTCATCGTTATACATATAGCATCTCTTTTATTGCAGAATACGGTACAAATACAAAGAAAAAACATTTACAGTTTGGCAAAATTTTGTAAATTTATTCGAAATTATCCTCTGTATTTTCGAAACGTCCATCGCATTATTTACATTTTATTTAAATTCTAGATAAAATAAATATTTTATAGTTAAGAAGAAATATGTGTAATTTAGTGATTAATGTAGGGATTTTAATGTAAAACAGGCAAATTTATTATTTATAACATATTTAAATTCATTTTGTATCTAGAAACGTAGTCAAAATATGTACGTTTACTACGTTTTACAATATTGGAGAAATATAATCTTATAATATAAGCTTTCTCTCTCTCTCTCTCTCTCTCTCTCTCTTTCTCGATGAATATGTACTATGAACAATTTCGAAGGATTTCGTATTTATTGAAAAGAAAGAATTCTTATAAATCTGTAGTGTTTCGAATATTTCGGTAATAGGTGAATCATGTGTTTCAACATTTCCGGTATTAAATGTGTTTCAAAGTTCAGGGCACCAGGTGTCGCAGTTCGAGTGGTGAAGAACGGGCGCGATACGGCTCGTCAGTTATCCAGCAGATTGCTGCGAGAGCGTTTCGTTGCGCCATAAGTGGCGTCGATGGTTTCTTATTTAGTTTCCTTCGATTTCTCGCCCTCGTGTCGCGAGAATTGGCGCGTCTCGAATTTCGAAATTCGTACTGCCACGAGAACGACCCTGTACAGATCGCGCACGGTTGATTGCACACCTGTGGCACGAAAAGTTTCAGAGGGGACATCAAGAAACCAAGCGGGAAAGAATTTTGCATTGATCGTGAAAGTCGATCTGGTCCTGCCAACGAGGAATCCCATTGGCAAGGAGCAGCTTCTTCGTCGTAATTTTCTTCATTTTCGGTTCTTCGAAAGGTACGTTGATTCGCAAACTACATAACTGCTTCGATCGCGCCTTCAGTTCCTTTGTTTATCTCTGCTCAAGGTGCAACGTACTTTCTTGGCCTTTCTTGCTATTCCGTCTGTTCCCTTATTTTAAGTATCATTAGTTTATGAATATTATGAAAAATTAAGTGATATTGAAGCGTCTGCAAACTAAACGATACCATTATCGAAATCAATGTCAATCGAGTTTACTTGTTTAATTATAATACTTGCCAAAACGATTATTAAATTCAAATCTATTTGAATTTTACTGATTATGAGCTAATAGAAAACATTCGAAGGATGTATATACACATATTAGGATTGTTACTTATGAATTTGTTGAAATAAAACTGATCGATACGTACATTGATAATTTTTTTTTTTCGTAATTGATTTTTAAATCGAAGTGAATTGAAGTAAAAGAAAGAACTGTCGATTGCGCACGATAACGATGCATGATAACTATGAAATGCGTTATTAAATGTGTTCAAATATGATTCTTCAGTGCCCTTGCTTCGCTTTGCATTTTCGTAGAAGCACACGTGGTTCAAAGTCACATCGCGTGGAGAATAACGCTATCTCCAGGAAGCTCCAAGTTTATTTTATTTCTGTACTACATACGTATTACACGCACATTCCAACTAAATTTTTACAAATCTATATACAAAATAGATCAATGATTTGTGTTGTTTATACGAATCTTAATTAAAGATTATACTCAAACTTAATTATGTCCAAATTCAGTTTAAAAATATCAACTACAATAAATTTATGTTTACAATCAAATTTGTTAAATTTCACTTTATTAATTAACTTGCTTTTAGATTAGAATTATATCGTTCCGCTCTCATCGATTATATTGGGATGATGCTTGCTTCGTTACAATCGAGTTATCTGACATTTGAAAATATACGTGCGCTAAGATACAGCTTATGCATATAAATACAGCTCTGTTTAAATCTCTGTTTAAAATCGTAAGTCCATGTTATTGCAACTAGGAATATCTTTGCACATTTTTTGCTTTATTTATTTTGCTTCGTTCATTTATTATGAATAAATAATCTTTTTTTATTATTTATAACGAGCATAAAAAAAAAACAATTAGACAATAATGATAATAGTTCTAACTTGGTTTATGGAATACCGACAGCAGGTAACAAATTGCGCGTTGCAATTAAAATTATCTTTAAATGATCAAACTACCTTTGTAAGATATTGTAGTTTGAACAATAATTAAATTTCTTTTACTGCTATTTCCAGTCAATGATTAAAAATAATTGATTAAAAATCAATTTTATTCATAATTTGGCCTATTTTATTTATTAGCAGAGAGCTACCGACCTAGCTTATTAAATTTATTAAGTATAAAATTTCAATCTATAAATTTTATTATTCACACAAGTTTATTATGTAAAGAAATCACAAATTCTATTATTCAATTGACAATATGTCAATATAATACGATCAAATCTCAAGAAATACATGAATTATGAATTTTCACTAAATCGATAGAATTTAAATCTTTAGGATAAAAAAGAGAAGGATAAACAATATAAAAAAAGAATGAAAAGTGCCGACAGTGAGGAGGAGTATGAACCTAGTAGATATGTGTATACCATTGTTACAAGTGCAAGGTTACATGCAACGTGCATTGTGTATCTGGACGATTATTTCCCCACTATGGACGATCGTCGATTCGCTGTTTGCACAATATAAACGGTTCTTTCCAGGCTGTCACCTTTCAATTTCATACTTGGCTTGCCGTTTAAATCATTTGACGAATAATTCTATCGTGTAATTTCTGTAATTCGTTCATCCGATATAGATGACATTCCAATGACTACATTTGCGTTATTAAATCGTTTGGCGATCTAAACGCTTGTCTCCTCAGATTACACATTTCAATTGAAGCTTTTATGTGTTTTTGCGTCATCATTTTATTTTGCTCACTCTTATTGGTAATGAGAAACTCGCTGAAGATATATTATCTCCAGAATAGTTGTATAAGTAATTGACTTTGTGATAAATAGTTAGTTGAAGTTACAAACATCATGTGATAGGTAATTTTATATAATTTATATAAAAAGATATATGTATGTACGTTAAGTTGTTTTGCATTAATACCTTTTTTAATTAACATTACTAGAAGTTTAAAACTAAATTTTAGTAGAGCCATTTTTCAAGAAATGCATAAAGATAAGATAACATAATATAAAAGATTTATTAAATTAATATTTAGTAAAGGCTTTTATGCAAATTCATGTCTTTAAGAATATAATTAGAAAAGTAGAATTTTGCAAAAAATTGTTTTACGTACTTTTTTTATATATTTTTTCATATTAAGCGCGTATTGTGTATTTTTTCCATAATTGTAGTTTAACTATAATCAAGACAAACAGTAAATCCACTTACTTTTACATGAATAAATTTGGAAACTCGATGAGAGATTTTAATCACGAGAAATTGATACTACAAAATAATTTTCGTCTATTATGAAATTTGGACAAAAAAGATTCTTTTCTTAAAACAATTAGATAATTTTCAATACGCTTAATAATGCCTTTCCTTAATTGTATTCGTTATATAAAATTAACCTTAATTTATAGCGACATGACGTGAATTAATCGTTTTGAATTTTTAATATAATATATAAATTTCTTCTCGTATCGTATGTAAAAGCAAACGAGTAGCTAGCAAACGTAATTCTTCATTATGTGAAATTTCTACATTCATTTTCTTTCGATTGAATCAATTTGAAATTTAATAAACAGATAAATGAAACAACAGAGATATATCAAATAATGAAATAATAGGTGAATTTAAAAAATAGACTGATTGATTAATTTTAATTTTAATGAATGGATAAATCAGCAACGATAGACGTGAAATAAAAAATATAATCATCGAGACAATCGGGATCCTGGATGTAACACGGTGGCCACGAAACCATCGCGATCGGAAACGAAAGTCGGACGATTTGATTTACGATGCCACTGTGAAATTTCTAATACATGTACATATGTACGTGCGATGCTTATCAAACGCAAAGTCTGACTCTTCAGATGGTAGTATGTGTCTTGCAAAAAATAAAAAATACTTCAGTATCCAGTGTATAGTTTCTGAAAGTTAATTGCACAAAGAATACTTCAGTATAATTTCTGGTGGTTAATTACATAAAGATGTAATAGTATTACGTACTACTACATGAAGTAGTATACTTTACGTACACTACATAAAGATGTAGTAGTTAGTCTTTTT